AAAATTAAAACTTTCAAGATTAACTACATTACTTACATTTTCATTTACAATTAATTAGATATTCTATTTACGCTGTCATCATAATATATTATTCATAATATATATTGAGACTTGAATCTGCATCAATCTTAAAATAAGTAAAAATAATTTCTATGAAGTATCATCAACTTGGATAAACTCGCAGGCGAAAGAAATGGTATTATAAAATTTTCCTTTCAGATAGAAGATAGTATTATTTACCGGAGGTATCAGTATAGTGTCACAGCATAATTAATGAACTCAATGTTATGTGAAAGCTTCAGATCTGTCATTTTTTGAACTCACAATAGCAGAAAGTGTGTTTTTGGTATAAAACTATATTTACATTTTGTTTAGGTGTTGATATAAAGATTTTTTTTATATATAAATCTAATATTTATTATTCAAAATCGAGAAGAAGAGAAGAACAGAAATTTTCTACTAAAATCACGAGAGTTGACATGTTTAGAAAGCTCGTTAAAACTTAAACTTATTATTACTGAATATTAAGAATAATGCAAACTTTTTAATTCTCATAGTTAAGAAATTGTCGGATATTGTTTACCATATGACATAGAAAATAAGATATTCACATTGAAAGATAAAGTTCATTGATAATTTATGTTATCTGATAAGAAATCTAGAAAACAATTTCACACATCTTAACAAATCCTAAAAAAAGAAGATACAAGTTTTGGTAGTGTTCTTCAAGATCTACTAAACTGTTTTCTGAATTTCTTATCGCAAAAAAAGTTTTATAAACCTTGACAAGCTTTCATTTAATATAAATTTTATTAATTATTCTATGTGAGATTACAGCGATACCCCCTGTGAATAATATTATTTCCTATCTTGTCTATTTTTCAGTGCATTACTTTACTGAGACGTGATATAGCCTCAACCTTTTAATTGGATGACATCCTGTCATCATACTTTTCTAAAGCCTTCAAAATGATCCTGGCAGCTAAATTAATAAGTAGTAGGTACTTCTACTTCTATTTTTATTATCTTCATTTTGTATCTCTGAGTACTATTATCCATCTGGCAAAGATATTTCATTTATTCTATGTTAAACTTATGTGTTAGTTGATTAATAAAGACCCTTCACTATATGTTTTGCGAAGACTTTGTTTTCGATATAGATAGATATAAGGTCTAGTAGAGTCGAATAGAACCGATTCAAAGCAAGTGTTTCTGTTGATTGCTTTTTCATTAATTAGAGTAGTTAATAAACATTGACATACATGATTTTATGATGTCATTTAATGTTTACGATGTTCAAAGTTAGGAGTATCTCTTATACATAAGTTAACTAATAGTAAACCTCATATTCAAACGCAGAATTTTTTTCGTTTTTTTTATTATGATAGATTTCTTGACTCGTATAATATGTCTTCGCCGTCTGAAGTTGCTTTTATTACATACATAAACAATGTTTCTGCTCAAATCAATCAATATTTGTCCATTTTTATCTTTCTTTTCGGCACAGTGGGCAATATTCTTAATATTCTTGTTTTATCTCAACGATCATTTCGTTCAAATTCATGTGCAACATTGTTTTTAGGCTCATCTATAGCTAATTTTATTGCTATCATTACTGGTCTTACAACAAGAATGTTATCGGGTTGGGCAGTTGATTTAACAAACACAAATAGAGTTCTATGTAAACTTCGAGCTTTTGTTCTCAACGTTGCAAGGCCAGTGGCACTTTGGCTCATTCTATTAGCTGGTATCGATCGATGGTTATTATCCAGTCCTAATATCCGTTATCGACAGATGAGTTCATTGAAAAATGCTCAACGAAGTATAATTATTACACTAATTTTGTCTATACTTCTATTTTCTCATATAATTTATTGCTATGAACCAAATTTAATTAATGCTCCATTGAAATGCTATGGAGTAACAATAACATGTCGTCTAGCAACGGATCTCTCACTTATGTTTATGACCATTTTTTTTCCGTTATTGTTCATGTTAATATTTGGTTTGATGACTATCAATAATGTACGTTATTCACGAAACCGTACACGACCCGGTGATATATCAATGATAACTATGCAAGGACCACCATCGACAAGTAGACCTACTGAACAACAACAACGAAATAAAATTGATGATCAACTGCTTATGATGCTTCTTGTACAAGTTCTACTTCTCTTTATATTTGCTCTTCCATTGGGCGTCCAAAAATTATATTCAACAATAACAACAAATAGAGTTTCATCACAAGCACAAGTTGCTATTGACAATTTTGCCTACAACTTTGTTTTGCTTCTTAATTTTATAGCAAATGGTATGCCATTCTATATTTATACGTTGGTTGGTGGAAATGTATTTCGAAAAGAACTTCAGAAAATGTTTGCAACAGCAAGACAGAAAATTTGTCGTCTATAACAATAACTTTATATATAAAATCAAGATTTCTTTTAGTGAAAAGTTTATGTAGTAGAATAAAAAGAATAATTTCAAGATGGCCAATAATAACTTCACCCACACTCAAAACAATAAATTAAGATTTTAATACATTTTTTTTCTAATCATTGAAATCAAAAACTTTTCAGTTATGAATTTATTTCGAAAATTCTACGCATAAATTATCAATTCCAAATTCTGTTCCATTTCTTGTGACATTTGAATTTTGTTCTCCACCATAAGATGAAAAATGAACAATTTCTACGTGTGACCAATTGAGTTCTACCCATTGTGGTTGCAATTGTAATGTTAATTTTATTGATTTGTTAACAGTTCCCAATCCTTTACCACTTATTTCTAATGTTAAATTATCATTCCATGCTGATGCTAACATCATCGATTTTAAAGTAAAACTTGGAGCTGCATTTATAATCATAGAAAGCTTTTGACCATCTTTATTCCATCCGATATATTTACCACTCGAAAGAACAGTTGAAAAACCCGACCAACCATTGATTTCTTCATGGTAGGAAACATTCATATAATTGGCATTCACCCACTGAAAACCTGAAAATCCATTGGGCAATGGTTGTGAATAACGACCAGCACCAGAAACATTATCGAATGTTATTAATCTCGGACAAACTTCAATAAAAGATATTAAGTTGATAAAATATTAAAACAGCCTTACTAGTAGACGTAGTACTTGTAATCATGGATGTTGTCGTTGTAATCGTAGTCGTAGATACTATCGATGTTGTTGATTCATTAACTAAGAAAAATATGAAGAAATCGACAAAGATGCAAAGTAAATCATAGATATGTTATAGAAAAAGATTATATTTTTAAGGTATTTGTATTTGATTCAATCCATATCGGGTCAAGTCTTCCCTATGTTAGTCAGATTGTATGAAACTTACATGATTGTTGAGTAGTTGTTGTAGTTGAGCTGCTCGTTGCTATAAAATCAAATAAATTATTTATGTAAATAGATATCATAGTATATTAATTTGCGATCAAGTTAAACTATTTCGAAACTTATTTTTATGCTAAAAACTTTCTACATCTTACTTTATTTTATTCACTAATCATTTACTGACACTTAAGTATTTTTCAAGAAATATTCGAAATATGAGTGAATGCAAAGATGATCGGTATTTCTCTTACTTGATATCAATGGACAGATTCGTTCGTCAATCATCGATATTGGATAACAAACAGAATGATTATTACATCGAGGATGTTGAACACAGACAGTATTCAACGGATCACATGTATTGTTTGAAGGACTACACGGTTTAAGTTGAGAACAACTCGGCCAGAGAAATCCACAAATACCAGTATTATCAGCATTTGTCATATGAAAACAACCGCATGCACTACTTGCCGAGCATTGAGCATATTGATCCATATCTTGACATAGTTGAGATCGTACTCGAACTATTACAAAAAATAATTTAAATATATAAATATCTCGAATAGAACAAATATCAAACCTATAATACTAAAATAAAAAATCGATAAATATTATTAAAATGAATGATGAAAGACAATAATATTTACCTAAGAAGAATGAAAATGAAATAACAGATAGTTATTTTAATTATCATTTGTGTTGAAATGAAATAGTATTGTGAAAAAATCTTGTTTTTATTTCGAATATATAGGTGATATTTTAATCTGTATTGATTGGAATATAGAAAGTGCATAGCTTAATAGTTTTTTTTTGATTAGAAACTTGATATTACTTCTATTGCTTTTAAATGTATTTATTCTATTTTATAAAAACAATATAATATACGTAGATTTAAAAAGAAAAATAGATGAATATATCTTTCTAATCGAAATTATTAACAAAACATATAAAATATTTAATTTATTGCCTATATACAGTAGTATCTTCAAGATTAGATAGATATATTATTATAAAATTATATTCTTTAGGCTGATTTTTATATCTTTAGTGGAATGTTTCAATCGAATATTTTATTTTTATTTTGATATTAAAAGAAACAGATAATTAAATGAATAGTTAATTGTCTTTGCAATACTTTAATACACATGCCGGGGTATAATATTCAACGTATAGTCGCGAATTTCTGCATACTCTGTATGACCGCATTTCGCGTTGTACTCTTCACTCGGTTTTACAACGATACGCATGTGATGTGTACCAGTTCTTCTGTATGAATCAGTCGAAGCTGGTATAGCCAATTCATGATCATAAAGACCCAAAGGAATTGAACTACGAAGTGGCCAGCGATGTGGAATAAAGCTTTCGGATTGATCATAGTGCCCATCGTCATTTAAATCAATCAAAACATCAACATCTTGAGCAAGATTGCAATAATTATTAAGTGGGCCTCTACTCGAAGCTGGATTGCAGTCTAATTGAATTCGAATACGATAATTTGTATTCTCATAGACGCTTACCGCCATATGGTGGCGGTTTTGATATTCACTGATTCTGGTATTATTTCGTGTATCGTCTCTGATCTGAGTACCATCTACACCAGCCATAATAACTAACACAATATGTGCGTTAGTTTGAGTACACACAGCATCACTTAATTGCAAATAGGGACCTCCAACATCAACTAAAAATAAATATTAATAAAAGTACATTGATAGATAGATAAACAATTACCTGATTTTATTGTGTTCGATACGATTGTAACTGTATAATTACGCACCTCATAATAATTTGGATAAGCACATTTTCTTCGATAGTGCTGATTTAAAGAAATAACAAGTTGCATACGATGAGGCCCACTTTTTATTTGTCTACCATCGACAAGAGGTACGCGTACTTGGAGATCATAGACCCCCTGTGGTAAATAGCTTGTTAGTGGCCAGAGGTAAGGCGTTGCACGTTCTCCTTCACTGAATTCTCCATCATCGTTGAGATCAATCCATACATTGGTATCATGAGGTAAGTTACAATTCTTATCTGAGTAACCTCTATTGAGTCTGTCGTCGCATTCGAATTGTAACCTAAACAAATAGGTATTACCTTCACGGAGAATCACGGAAAGATGTTGGTCATGATCATCGTTGCCCAATAATGCTCTTGTTGAAAAGTCATCGCGTATTTGAGTTCGATGTTCCCCAGGCATTATAGCAAAAATAATTTTGCCAACTTGTGGTGTGCATGTAATGTTTTCTGGTGCTACATAAGGATGTATCGCATCAGGTGCAGCTAAAATACATGTATAAATCAAACTACTACATAATGATTAATATATGATGTATTCTTTTGTTAATCAAGAATTAGATTATTTACAAAGAACTGTTTGCATAAGAAAACTATTTGATTATAGTTTTCCAGTGATAACAGTTGAAATATAATACTATTAGATATTTTCGTATAAATAAAATGTAAAAGAAAAATACTTACGTAAATATGATGAGCGTGAAATAATATTCACATCGTATTCTCTTCGTTCAGAATATTGTTGATAATTACCACATGTTCTTCGGTAATTTTCATCTGGCGTCACAACAATGCGCATACGATGCGATCTATTTGCTATATATCGTTCATCAATCAAAGGGATATTCAATTGAATATCGTACACGCCTTGAGGTAAGTAACTTGTAACTGGCCATAAATGTGGAGCTCCAATTTCTGATGCATCAAAATTTCCATCATCATTCCAATCAACCCAAACATTGACTTCTTGAGCTAGATTACAACCTGTCTCTGTTAATTCAGTGCTCAGTTGGGTTGGACAAGCTAACTGAACACGCAGCAAATAAATTGTATTTTCATACAATGTGACCCCCATATGATGTTGGTTTTCATAAGTATTTAATGCAGTATATACTTTATCATCTCGTATCTCGGTGCCAACCTCACCGGCCATGATAACGAGAATAATTCTGGGTGACGGTATCGAACAGATTGGCGCCATATAAACATACGGCGTTGTTGTTATTACTAAAATAAAAAATGATTACTAATATCTGATGATTTATAAGAACTTATTCTCATAAATAAGAAAACTCAATGTCATTTGTCAATATATTATTATCTTTAGAGAAAACGGAGTAACAAGTTTTAGATGACTTTGTTTCGTCAGAATGTTCAATAAATAGAAAGTTGATTATAAAAGGATAAATATTTACCTTCATATCTAACTTTCCGGATTATATCGAAGGTGTAATCCCGCGTCTCGCGATAATCGATTGTACCACAATCCCGCTGGTATTGCTCGCTTGGCATCACAGTAAGACGCATGACGTGTGGCCCTTCCCTAATATATCTACCATCAATAGCTGGTACATAGATTTGTAAATCATATGTACCGGTAGATGCACCATTATTTGGCCACGAACGATGGAGAGTGTGACTCTCACTATCATCAAATCGATTGTCATTATAATCGACCCACATTTGTACAGTTAAGGAATCACTACATGGACTGTCAGTAGAATCTCCACCACAGTCAAGCTGAACGCGTAGATTATGCGTTGTCTCTTCATAAAGTTTAACCGTGGACGATTGGTGAGATTGACCATTAGTATACGTTCTTATATCATCGTATATATTAGTTCCATAGTCGCCATCTACTTGAACGAGTGCAATTTTATTAAGACATAAAGCACATCTGGCTTTCTGTACTGAAACATATGATGGAGCACGTCGATTAGAAGCCACTGAAAAAGATATATAAAATTAAGTATTAAATCAAGATTTTGAATATAGATACAAAGGATAATAATTATATAAAAAGCAACTACGAATGTTTTGTACTCATTTAGAAGATAGATTTAAGGATAAAGGCAGTCAGTTATACTAATATTTTAACAATTCGACTTACAAACTCTGACTTGTTTTGGTACAATTGGGACTGCTGCTGTTGTTTTCTTTCTCATTCTGTTTCTTGGTGTTGGTATTGGTGTTGTTGTAAATATTTTCTCCTTTTCTTCATCTTATAATAAATAATAATACAATTTTTTTCAGATTAATAAACTGTCTTTTTACCATTTATATTTACGGTTGATCGTGCATTTTCATTATCAAAAATGTCACTGGTGATGAATATGGTCGTGTCCATAACCTGTTCAATCTCTATATAAATATATATTTTATATAATACTCATGATGAAATAAAAGTTTAAATCAACCTCGTTTCATTCCCATTGTATCATGGGACTTTTCACGCCCATGCATGAATTTTGCGATTCCAATTGCTACCATACCAGACAGCAACACAACTACTAAAATACCGACGCCCAGTCGAAGGTATCTAGCAGCCAATGTGTTCCTATTTAAAATAAATAAAGTATTCAAAATGTTTTTTATTTTACTCATGACAATATGATTATACATCTGCTTTCTGAAAAGTTGATAATAATTTACACATTCGGTCTTCGATATGGTACATGAAAGACTTTTAAGAAATTTATTGTATAACTTCGTAAGCCACAAATTTTCCTTTTTTTTGTATGAAATATATTAGTACAAAATTTATAGAAACTTCCATCTTATTTAGTCAGAAACATTGATCTTTGTCCTGTGTTTGCTTCAATATTATTCAATATATTGTTTAAGTTTTACTCACTTTCTTCTTGGAAGACCAACGCTGGCTGCTTGCTCATCGTCTTTAAGTACGGGTTCGTACTCATTTCTACCCTCTAAAATAAATCAATAAATAACAGGCAAGATAGAATAGAAAACTCCTACCCATGGGCCCTGTGCTTGAATTTTTAAAATATCTAAAATTTAGCAGAAAAAATACAAAAACTTCATGTTGTTCTCTTGTGTTAAACAAATTATGATTGAACAATGGCTTAAGGATAGGTGTGGATGAATCTGAATGGAGCAGGGTGTGGGTGTGGGTGTGATCTATGAAGAAGAAAATATTCACACCCACATCCTCACTCATGTAAGGATAAACTATAGAAAATGATAGAAATAATATACCAATACTGAAAATGATGAAGAGCAATCAATAACATCGAAGCTAGAATAGCCAGTAGGTATTATTCAAGTTAAAGTATAGTTCGAAGAAAAGAAAATGAATAGGGTATTAAAAGTGTAATTAAAAACACATTTTGCAGTACTTTTATATGCAGATTCCTTATCATTTGCATAGCTTTAGGCTCTTTCTATAGAATGAGTCGGTTAATTTCCAACAGTAGATATATCTGTGTATACTGAAGCAATATTCTTATCTACATTTCGAGCAAGTTCTTTCATCATATGCTTGCATTTGTTGGTTTTTGATAACACGTAGCAAGAAAATGTTACATACGGTAGCTAAACATATGATATAAAGATAGAAAAGATTTTGTTTGTCGAGGAATGAAAAGAATACTTTAAAGTTAGATGTTTAGATATGAAATCTAACCCTCTTGAAATTTGTGTCTATGAAAAACAACGCCATTGTATTTCACAACCAGGTACTTAGACTGTGATTCCGCGATGGATGAGATGCGTTCGACTGTCCGCAAATGTGAACTCGTGAATATCTTGGAACTCAAGTATTAATTAAGAAAATCAGAGAGAATACGTAACTATGCTGCACTAAAAAGACTTACAGAATTCAAGAAGCTTATACCATTCGAGATACTCATAAAACAAGAGGCTCTTCAGGAGCTCCAAGAAACTCTCAGAATTCAGACAAATAAGCAGTGATGCACAAAACCAATCCGAACATGTTCACATCACCGCTTGCGCCTACGTCCCTTGCTCGCCTCTGTTTTCTTTCGTTATACTGATGAGTCTTTCGAAGTTAGTTAGACGCCAGATTGATGTAAACACAAACTTATCAAAGCTCCAACCGATGTTAAATAGATCCGAGCAGGATCCATATGAAACGCAGGCTGTTTTTGTTAATCTCTGGAACCAGAAAGCCCACAAAATCCAATAAATCCTAGAAACTAATAGAATTTACGCAGCTATGGGAACATAAGACCCTCACAAAACCAACGGAATTCAAGGATTTTGCAGAGCCGAACATACCCTAGGGACTCGTAAGGCTCGAGAAACGCACAGAACCCAAAAAGTTGAAAGAACTTAGAGTGTGGGTGAGAATGTGAGATTAAGTGAACTTAAACGAAACATGAAAATCACAGTCAGATCTTCAGTTGCTCCCGCCACACTTGTTTTCCAATGACAGTTACCATGAAATGATCCTTGCCCTTCGATGAGACATACTTCGAAATAGTTGCTTCCCAATAATATATTCTATTAACCTACGTCTTTTTCGTTGACTTGTCCAAGATAAATTTTTGAGGGTTTAAGAACAAATGAGATAAAGAGATTTTAATGATTATAATCCGTACAAAATTTAGGGATGCTGAGTATTTCATAAACTAATCTCTAAAGACTAAGTAATATGTAACACCATCGATCTATTTCGAAACTATGCTGTTAATACGTTTTCTCATCATGTACGGACAATAGTGTTCTGAAAGGCTATCTTCAAAAGGCCGTACATTATAATAGACACTAACACTCAAACAGTTAAATAAATCGTTATAATTTAAAAATGAAAACACAGAACTCGTCAATATCTTCAAATGCTGCAGGAATTTATACTAATCTTATTCTCATGTCTACTTCCCTCATTTTTAAATTGCTAAAAGTTATCTTGGATAAGTCAACAAAAAAAGGCGTAAATTAATAGAACATACCATTGAGAAGCAAAAATCCAGAAGCAGTGCTCATCGAAGAGCATGAATCTTTGATGGGTAACTGTTGTCGAAGAATAAGTGTTACTGAAACAACTATACAGAGAACATCATTCATTGATTTCTTTTATATAACATTTTTATCACTTATATCTCAGGTATTTTCCCTTAGATTAAAGGGTTTTTTTTTATGTAGACAAACATTTGTATTGGCAAATAAAGTATTTCTCCCAACATTGCTTCTCACAAAGCTCCGAGTTTGTTGATTTTTGGTAAGAACAATAATTTTTTTATAAGATAACTAACGCCATGGCTTGAAAACATCGAAAGAGAAAACGCTATGAAGAAAATGATGAAAAATAAATAACAAGATAAAAATAACGTCGAAAGATTATTTATTCAAGTTTTCATTGGTAAGTTAAAAATTGACGATGTGGGTATGGGTGTAGATGTTGGGTGGATGCAGGTGTGGGTGTAGGTGTTAGTAGGTGCGGGTGTGAGTTAGTTGTGGACCTAGGATTTTTGTGATAGGGGTGATTTCGATCAAAAGTCGCATTGTCGCCCCCATCCAACATATCATCTACTGGTTTTCGTGCCACCTAAATCCGCCACTGATGTGAGTGTTGAATGACGAACAACATCCACACTCTCACCCTGTGTTTTTACAGTAAATTTAGCTGCCCAGGCAGCGAATATCGTCAATAAAACTCATTGAGGGCGTGGGTATGGGTTGGTTGTGGGTGTAGGCGTCGATATTGTATTCATCGTACGCCCACACCCACAGCATTCCACCCTCAAATTCGAGACCTGCACGGAGTCACTTTCGACTCCGACTTTTTTTGTATTTTATCTTGGTTTATGAGACTCGTTAAGAAGTCTACCGATCCTTCAAAATACATAATTTGGTAGAGAAAATGTCGGACAACAAAACTATGAGCTTAAATAATTTTTAACGTTAAAGTTGCATTATTAACATGCAACTTACTTGACTTCGACGGCGACTCCGAATATGACTCTGTGCAGGTCTCTACCGCAAATGGAATAGCCATAATTCTTAAACATTTTCTTACTTTCATTGGAATCTATTTATAATCAACCTGTCTAGTTGAATGATATGCAGCAACTGAATATACGTCGTTCTTTGTTTTATTCAAATAGTTTTCAAAAAATTAAGTTTATTCGATTTATTAAAAACTTGAACATAATATACATAATTGAATAACTTATTTTTCCTATATATCTATATTATAACGGCCTTTATGGAGAAAAACATAAAATAGTACGATGAAGCTACCCTATAGTTAGATCTACACGTCAGATTTTCATAAAAATTGTATATTCATATTGACGAAGCCTCATACACACACTTATCAATTTTCAATAACTAAATGAATGATGTTATTTCTTTAGATGAGATAATATTTTGTTTTATTTTTAATGCATTAGTAAAGGGAAAATATAAAAAGGGTGTAGGATGTCGTGATAATTTTTTTTTCTTCAATACTTGCTTGCTTGGAGAACTTATTTTTAACAGTAAAAATAAAAGAGTTTCTTTACTAAATCCATGACAATGTTTTCTGTGCAAAAATATAACATCCTTTTAGTATGTTTAAATGTACTTTTTCTAAATGAAATTGTATTCACCTAAGCTTGCAACAGCTGATTATTTTTTAACCAAGAACATTATAAAATTCGTTACGATATCTAAACGATGGGTTTTTTCTCTTGTTATTGTCTGCCTGTGTAACTGCCTAGATAAGAACGAGAAAAAGAAAAATTAACTCTTTACTTTAGTGTTTCAAACGCTTTGTCATTGCTACTCTCGTTCTTACTGTTGTATATTATATTTCGATGATATCTATTGATACAGTTCAATCTGAAGAGGACATATTGGGCATTGTAGCGTTATTACAAATCAATCTTCGACGTAATCTTTCTCTCGATAAGCAATGTTCAAATGGTTTTGTTTCCATTGAATATGAACCAAAATTTCTTCAAAAAATAAATCAATTGGCACCAAGTATTATAGCCAAAGATTCAACTTCTAAAGTAGTCGGCTACTCTTTAGTGATATTACCTCAAATTGCAGTAGAATTACCAGAACTTAATAAAATAATTTTATTAATCAAGAAACTTGAATACAAAAATATACCTCTTCAAAATTATACTTATTACATAATGGGTCAAGTTTGTATCGCTAGTGATTATCGAGGTCAAAAGATTTTTGATCGCATGCTACATAAACATCGTGAATTATATGCCGATCGTTATCAACTATTGATTACAGATATTTCAGATAAAAATATTCCTTCATTTCGTGCTCATGCTCGAGTCGGTTTCGAAACAATATATTCATATAACGATCCAATTTCAAATGAAACGTGGCATATCGTATTGTGGGATTGGCAAAAATAAAATTCTTCATGTAATCACATCATTATATGATAACATTAGATAGTATAATTAGTTTTAAAAAGAAATCAATAAATTACAATAGAAAAAGAAACATTTATATTTAAATGAATGATTTGATTTATCAGAAAAATTCAGTTTCGAGATTTAATACATATTGAAATAGAAATGTGAGAATATTAATACTAACATACGGTGTGATTGACATTTTTTTCTAGCACCAGTATGGCAATGAAAAAAATCTACTAAATATAGAACGTAAAAAACGATAGATTAATTAAATATTAAAGAATTTACCGAATCATCAGAAAAGATGTCGCTTTTCTTGTACAATTTATTTTATTTGAAAACACTTATGGTTAAAAACATCTAACTGTTTGCGTAACATATCGTACAATTGGTTATTAAACGTTTTTTTCTTTACAAATTTTCAGCATACATTTACATATGGTAAGATTTTTGTTAATTTGTTGTGAATATGCTAACAATACAACTAAAACGCATAGATTGATTTGTTTTATGTTGGAATTCTTTACATAATCTAAGCATGTTGAATAAATTATCTTAGTAGTATTTTCTAAATATTTATCATTGAAATCAATAAAACGATCGTATAATATTTCCTATATTCATTGTTTTCGATTCATTAGTTGGCAAGATCTGTCTGATACTGGTGAGAGCAGATATTAATAAGATTGAATGTGAATAAGTAATGATTTAAGTACTGATTCAGACTTACATTTACATTTTTAAAATGATAAATTTATTTTTCAATAGAATTACATTAAAAAAACTGAAATATTTAAAATTAAAAGTTAAAAATAATATTTCGATTTGTTAGTTATAAGTATTTATATGAGTCTATTATTCGAATAATTAACCGCCAGAGTATAATTCCGCAGTTTTTAAATTAGAAACATCGGTTCCAGCATTGACTAATACGTTTCCATTTGTTAATACGGATGCTGCATGTAAATATCGTTTATTAGTTAAGTTGCTAGTAAATGTCCATGTTTCACTTATTGGATCATACAATTCAGCACTATTTAGTACACCATTACTATCAGATCCACCACTGACTAATACCTTTCCATTTGTTAATAGAGATGCTGTATGATAATAGCGTGCTGTGTTTAAACTATCCGTTAATGTCCATAGTCCAGTTGATGGATCATACAATTCGCTACTATCTAAATAACTATTATTAGAAGTTCCGCCACATATCAGTACTTTCCCATTTGTTAATAGCGATGCTGTATGATAGTATCGTGCAACGTTTAAACTACCAGTAAATTTCCAAGTTTGGGTCGACGGATTATACAATTCAGTACTATCGATTTCAGCAGTACTAACACCACTAGATCCGCCACTGACCAATATCATTCCATTGGTTAGAACAGTAGCTGTATGATAATATCGTGCAGTATTTAAGCTTCCAGTAAATGTCCAAATTTCACTCGAGGGATCATATAGCTCGGTACTATCTAAAACAGTACTACCATTCAACCCACCATTAACCAATACAATTCCATTTTGTAATAACGATGCGGTAGAATAACGTCGTAAAATATTCGTAGTATTAGTAAGTCTCCAGCTTGCACTTAAAGTATCATATAATTCAGCAGTAGCTCCAGTACTCTGTCCACCAGTAATCAATACCTTCCCATTTGCTAATACTGTTGCTTCATGAGAATATCTTGCATAATTCATACTACTAGTTAATGTCCATATGCCACTCGATGGATCATATAATTCAGCAGTCTTTAATATACCACCGAAACCACCGTATCCACCCGTAACTAATACTTGACCATCTAGTAGAATGGATGATGTATGATAATATCGTGCACTGTTCAAGTTTCCAGTCAATGTCCATACTAAAATATATTATTATCGAAAAAATTTTTCTTATAGGAGAGTATAAATATTCTTCCTTATTACTAACCAGGTTCTGCTGTTGTAGTTGTAGTTGTAGTTGTTGTTGATGATGTTGTTGAAGACGTGGATGATGTTAATGATGTTGTAGATGATGATGTTGATGTTGATGTTGTAACTGTTGTCGTTGATAATGCCGTAGTTGATTCTATTTTCAAAAAAAAAAAAGGTTCAATATGATTAAACTAAGAAGTTAATGTTTCTTTATCTAATTATAATATAACTATAGTTTTGAACACATTCACTTCTTTTTTTATGTTATTTATTTATAATTGAAGGAAAGATGCGTAGGCATAGTAGAACTTCCCGTAATGATATGCACACGTGTCAATCTTGTTAATTATACTCACATTTACACGATTCAGATCAAGCAAACTTCAAATTAGGTTTATCTTCGTAAAAATTCATTTTTGAATGAACTCTTTTATTTATATTTCGATCGCGGTAGTCATTTTTAATCATATTAATTTCATACTCTCAAGAATATTGACCTTACTCTAGTTATGAAATGGCTCAATTATCTATATTTAACAAAAGGAGAAAAGAATATCGACTTCATTTAATAGATAATTATTATTTCGAATAAACTTACTAGTTGTTAATGAAATTGATGATTGATTCATATATATTAAAGAAGAATTTAAACTAAATTCAATTATAGTTGAAGTTATATTTGAATATAATAATTGACATGTTTGATTAGTTGAAAAATAATTTAATGCATATATTGATTCATCTGAATTTAACATTTCACAAATACATTGATCTTGTGTTAAATCAAGCAATGATTTACTTATAACACCAATTAATATATTATCTTTTATTAAACTAATACGAATTGAATCATGAATGGAGAATAATGAAAATAGAAATATTATCCAAAACATATTTTCTTTGCTGCACCTTTTTTTTAAATGATTTTCTTTTTTTTTATTTTCAACAACTTTCTCAGGCGTTCCATATTTAATTATTAATAACCAGAAAAAAAAATATTCTTTTTTTTTTCAGCAAGCATTTGTCTTAACGATAACAAACAAAATATGTCTGTATATACAGAGATAAGGAAACAAGAGAATATTTTGTTACTCTTTGTAACTGTTTATGAAATTACAACAGAAGAAAAAACATTAATATTAATATTTTATTCAAATGTCATCGTTTTTTGTAAAAGTGCGTAGTTTAGTAATATACTGAAAGAAAAAGACTTTCTAATAAACTAATGAATGACACTATTTTACTGTTCTGTCAACTAATTTGTATTATACGTTAAACATTAGGATGAAAAGGAATGGTTTATATTATTTTAACATATTGGATGATTCATATAATAGCACTATGTTTTATTGTATTAAATATATTGATTTGCGAAGATGTATCATCAAAAGGTGTATAGATAACTCTCTATTGTTAAATAAAAAAAGTTTTTCATTAAGTATTCAATATGGTAGGGCATAGTATTATCATGTGATTCATTCATTTTGAATATGAAAGTCATCATTAAAGCAAACTAAAAGAGGTTTTTATAATATATCTTTAAAAAAAGCAAGATGTATTGATATACTTTCAAAATGTTCAATATCGCAATTATTATGACTCATTCGGTATGGGATAAAGACAATTTTCAAAAGTGTAGTAGTTATTATTATAAATATAATGTGATCAATAAATTGAAACTTTGAAATCTTTTATGACTACATTTAATTTTTTCTGAGTTGATAAAATGATTTATTCAAAAAAAAAGGCATTAATATTCAATTACATAATTTTAATACCACAAGATTTTTTTCAACTGTGCGGAATTACCTATATATTTTCCATATCCACGAACTATAAAACCATCTGAAGGAGTACAAATTTGATTATTTTTCTATATCAAAAAGACGATTGAATTGATCATAACAGCTGCTACTTGCATAATAGATCATTTTAATATTATATAAATAACTATCAATAGGAATATATGGTCTTAGTCGATAACAATTTAATATGGAACAAATGCGCAATGTATTATTTTATTCCTATAAAAATCAACGAAAATGTTCTTGTATTGGTGTCATCGGGATTTTCAAAATGATGGAGCTGAGCCTTCAGACTGTTTTTTTATGTAGCTTAAATATCGATTATTTTTATATGAGACAAGATTAACTAGGATTTTGTACTGAATTTATTATATACAAAAAGAAAACAAAAATAAAATTTCGATAGTAAATTATGTTTATTTATTTCGATCACATAATCTAAATAGCTTATGTCTAATAACATATATTTTGTTCCATAGAAATAATAATAATGATAAAATAGTAATAATTAGAAAAGTAAGAAATAATCCACCCATTGAATCAATTCCCATTGCTGTTGTTGTTTCACTAACGGCAGAGCATGTCGATGATCCAAACCATGTTGATTCTAAATCATCAAGATTACCTGCTTCTTTTAATGATAATATATTAAGATTTAAATCCTGTAAATATAACCATCCTTTAGCAACAACAATACCACAATTACTTTTATCAAAACCTGCACCAACCAAAGTTAAATTACAATATATATTATTCGTAACATATTCAGCATAACTATCATCTATTATAGCTGCATCAATTTTACCTTCAAAAAAAGCACTATACATTTGGTCATTATTTTCTAATGGATAAAAATTTGAAATTCCTCCTGATATATCTCTTAGATAATAATCTTCATACGATGTACCAACAATAATTCCTATTCGACTAAATGAAATTTTTCCATTTTTAATATCATCAATACCAGAAATAATATCTGTTGATTTTGATATTGTTAAATCTGATGCTAAATTAGCTGTATATGATGCAACTAATACTAAACTTAGAATATATAAACCAATAGTTAATAATCGTCCAGCTGGTGTTTTAGCAGTGAAATCTACACCATATCCAACAATATTACCAAATGAAAACCATGTACTCATTGCAATTGCAGAAATTACTGTTTTTTGTTGTAACGTTTCATTTTCTGATCTTTCTAAGAAATAAAGTAAAATACCAGCATAAATTGTAGCTACTAAAATGATTAGCCAAAGATTGTATGAAAATGGTTTTAAATAAGATAAAAGATCAATATTCGTACTAGATGTAATTGGTATCATAACACGTAATGAATTATCAGATATTGAAGTAGAAAAATCGACTATTTCTAAACGTTCATTAGTAATTGTCATATCACCAACAAATATATCATAAATTCCATTTGCTACTGCTTCAATAACTTGATCATAGGTTAGATTTGATGGTGTTAATTGAATATCTGGAATAAAACCCATGTTTACTCGTAAAAGTTCAATTAAATCAGGCATATAGCCAGTAAATGTCATTGTCGTATTTCCTGACGCATCGATATTATTTGTAACTATTGTCAATGGAGTTTCTTGAAGTATAGCTATTCGTAAAGTTACACCTTGGAGTGATGCTCGATCCGTTGGAATGATTAAGGAATTTCCTGGCCATATAATAACATTTGCTCCTGTATATGTTTGCCATTCACCAGTATCAACATATTCTAATACAGGAGTAAAATCTATACCAGATTGAATATTTTGTACATAATAATATGAACCATTTATTCGATCCGTTGAGTTATTATTAAATTCTATTAGACCCGATACACCAAGAAATTTTGTTGTACTCATAATATTCAATAATAAATCTGAATTAATAAAATGATGATCAAAACAAAATGATGATTCATTAAATGATAAACATGAAGAAGAATTATTTTCAATTATAGAACAAAGTTGTTGTAATGATTGAATTAATAACCAGGCTGCATCAAATGCAAATAATGCATAATAATCAACATTTGCTGATCCAGGAAATGTTTCTGGTTCATATTTTTGCCAAAGTTCATAAGCGGCATGTAATAATGTTGTATTTATTGGTGCATTCACAATACTTGCTGTAACAGGTTCAACAGTAAGTATTCCAATTAAGTTTTCTCGATCTGTTTGATTAAAAGATGTTAATGAAATACTTGTACTTAATATCCATGTAAATTGTGAACCAAGTACATTTGCATCAAGTGCTTTTTGTAAAATTAAAGATGTATAAAGTGCTTCTGCCCATACAACAATAACTCGTGTTGGACTACTCATTAATACTGTTTCCAAATCACCTTGAATATCTTGTGTTGCTATATCAAATATGATTGTACTTTTAACTGTTAAATTATTATTCACAAATGCATTACTTATGACTTTAGCTCCATTCGATCCATATGCATCATTTTGATGAATAATTAAACATGATGTCCAATTAAATCGAAGAAATAATTTCATAATTGCTATTGCAGCTGCTTGATCCGAAGGAATTGTACGATAAAAAGCAGGATAATCGTTTCGATCAGATAGATCAGGATCAGTTGCAGCATATGATACAACAGGAATACCAATTGTTTTACCAAATGGAGCTATAATTTCAGCTTCTCTTGATAATGATGGACCAACAATGCCAAGAATATTTGAATTTGATACTGCTTGACATGTACTACGAAAAGTATTCATAATATCTTCATTGGTTTGTGATGATTCCCATCCTATATATTGACCATCTATCGTTATATTATATTGTTGAGAAAGTAAAACTGCTGCTTTAAACATCGCACGACAATGAATAGATGAATTCGTAGTAACATCATCTTGAAATAGTCCCAATATTTGATAATCAGAGACATTTGACGATGTCCAATTGGCTTTTACATAATATTGTCCAAATATAAAATAGAATAATAACCATTGATAATTCCATCGAGATACCATACTTATTTTCATATGCAATTAATAGAATGTTATTGAAGAAAATACGAAATATTCAATGCTTACGAATAACTAATCGGTATGATTTCGTCTATTGAAAGTAACTAGAGAACCATATTATCATATTAATGCAAACATACATATACTTCTTTTGGTTATATATTGAAAGTCACGAAAGTAAATAATCTATAAATCATTACTAATATTATTTGTCAATAAAAATTACTTTTGCATCACTGAAATTAAATAGCTGTCGATGAATAATCTGTTTCTTTCAGTATCTTATGCCTCAAATACTCTCGTTTCAATGCACAAATCAAATATATTCTCGTCATAGTAAACATAATTATTCATAAAGAAATTTTCAGTGATGTGTTCTTAATCCGAACGTTTGGATTTGTACTATTCGTAGATTTTCTTTACAAATACGTTAGAAATCTTGTTTTTGTTTTCATTTTAAGTTGAATATGTAGTTCCTGAGGGTGTGAGTGTCCCTTGTTGATCTAAAAAGAACGTCCACCCA